CCATTTTCCTTTGTTTTTTTTAACGAAGAAATTTAAATTTGAATATTTAGAGGCTCGTAAATCAGTAATGGCAAGACAAGGCAGAGGGGTGAGCATGTGAATTGCATATGGCGTTCCTCTGCGCCCAAACTCATTTTGTCTTCCAATTTTATTACCTTTTCATATTATCGTGGATGTCTACGTGGCAACGATCAGCATTTGTCAGCATTCTCATCACCAAACACGTGGAATAGTGATTACTGTTGGTAAAACAAAACTTTCCTTCCGCTTTCCTCCATTTTTTCAACCATTTGGTCAATAATTATCCCCCAATGTAATTACTAAATATTATATATTAACAATTTTTTGTTATGAAAGGGAATAAATTTTTGAACGAATCCCTACAATAATGTATTCTCTTCTTCTTTGTTTCATTTTTTCTCATCCAAATAGTTTAAATATTTATATTCTATTTTATTTTTCACTACTCTACTTCCTTACACCCCGATTACGTTGAAACAAAATTTTAAAGTAGCCAAGCAACTATGCTCACCTCTCCATTGTCGTAAGTATATATATATATATATATATTAGATGAAGTTGAGTAATAATACTTTAAAATAGGTTTAAATAATTCATGTTTAAATGAATATAAATTTATATTTATTTTAATGTTATTAGTTACATCGTTGCATTAAATCTATAATCATAGGATGTTTATTTTGTTTCTATATACACCGTAAATGATAAAATTGTAGAATAACAAAGAGTTTATATGATATAGAATGAATTCTATGTATATTTCATGGATTCCCGATTATACATCTGTGTGTGGCTCTCAACTCTCAACTCGATCGATCAAAGACGAGGACGTAAGTTCGTAAAGGAAATATTGATAGCATTTGCTACTTTATCCTAATGTACTGGAGTAAACTTAATTACAGTGTGTTTTAATACCGAAAACTAATGATATTTATTTTTTATATCTTTTTATACATCATCGTTGTATATGTATAACGGGAAATAATTTAAAAAATAGCCTATTTCATGTAATAAAAAAAATATTAATCAATTATAATATATTATAATATTGGAGCAAAATGATGTCCAAGACACAGTGTGACAGTGATATAATTATTTAAACCTTCCCCAAGTAGACATATACCCAAGAGAAATCTATAACAATTTCGTGTTTACACGTACTGTGATGAAATTATACTTTGGATTTTATATATCGACGACACAAAATTAAAAGACAAATACTTTTTACACACAAACATCAATAAAGAGGAAAAGTTATATGGTTTAAACATGAATTTCTTAAACTCCATATCCCTTGCATTCTCCACCGAATACACAAAAGCATTAGATGACAAATAAAAGTTAATGACAAAATAAAGCCACACGAGACAAAATTTAAAAAGAGAGGGAGAGAATGTTGCAAAAGAGTTGGATAAAGGAGGAATGCTTTGCTGTTGTCTAATTCTTAATGCCGGTTCAGTTAAAAGAATTTGTTTCATGCATGAAGTTTGACTGTGTTCTAATCAAGCACATCCAATGGGAAATCAAAACAAGTGTTTAGACGTAGGTGATTATCATGAGCCTAATTATGGGTTTAAAATCTTTACTTGGTTGTTATGCTTTTTACTTATTTATTTTTTCTCTTTTTTCCCCATCACCTTTTTCTTCTCATTCCGAATAATTAAAAATGCAAAGTCAAAAAGTTCAAACCAAAAGAGAAAAGGAAAAGTCAAAAACTTTCCGTCATTCCTTTCATCAAGTTTTTGCACTGTGTGAGAGGTTCATTCAGCCCCAAAGATCGCGTGTTTACTAAATTAATCTTTGGTCGACAGTTAAACTATGATATGAGAAATGAAACATGTGGATATAAAAAATTAAAAAAAACTTATACGGGAAAAAAGAAATTTTCCTTTAAATTCAAGTAGAATGTTAATTCATAGTTCAAATCTAATCCAAACAGTAAAAATCAAACTAAAAATTAAAAACTAAATTAATAAAAAAACTGAACAAATTGAAAAGTGTAAAAATTATTTTTTTATTGAATTAAATTAGATTTTAGATCCTATTTTAAAAACTTATATATTTCAATTCAAATTCAATATATAATATATGTATATCATTTTATTTATAAAATTTACATATCACCAATATTTTTAAGACTTAATTATAATATTTAAATATTTTCTATGATTTATTTTAAATTTAAATGATATTATAATTTTTTAGAGATACATCTTATTTTTTTTATGAGTATATAAGTATGTTTTTTAAGAATAATATAACAACATTATTTTTGTATATCATAATATAAATTTTAACGTTGAATTAAACTCAAATTTATTTATCTTAATCCCATCAAGTTTAGTGCAAGTTAAACTTGCAAAAGCAACAAAATTTTAAATTTTGTTGTGTTTTTTTTTTTTAATGAGTTTTGCTAAACCTAAACACCACTTTTGCAAGTTCAAGTTAAATTTAAAGCTTGTCATCTAATTTACTAAAGTTATTTGAATAAGCTGAAAAGCTCGTTTTGTTCTCTACTTTATTTAAAGGTTATGAATCATAAGATGAGATGACCAGCTTTAAAATGAATAAAATTTTATAATAAAGTTATAAAAATGAACTAAAATTAACTTGGTGAACCGCTTTTCACAAAGGAGTATTATTCCTTATTACTCTTAATATTTGGTTTAAATTGTATTAAATATTTTAAAATTCATTCTATTAGTATATATGATTATTAGCAATATTTTAAAACGAAACTCGGAATTGCACTTATAAAAGTATTAATTCATATTTCACTAATCATGCAGGCCCAAACAAATGCGGCCTAAGCAGGTTTGAAACCCAGGATCACTCCATGTTTCTCAATAGAAGTGCAACTCCAAAGTGGACCTGGAGTCTACACGAAAAAAATTGGACCCAAGAAAAAGTGGACGGAATAAAGTGCAACTCGAATAAATATAATGTTTTATTTTTATTAATTTTATGAGAATTTTTAAAAAAGTCTCAAGAATAAGTTGAATAGAATAAATGTATAAGTCTAATTTGAATAAATTTTTATAAAACATATATATATATATAAATTAATATAAAAAAAGTTCTCTTATAAATTAAAAATAATTTATATTTTTATATATATTTTAAAGTTTTTCTCATTTAAATTTTCTAAAGTTTAAAAAGATAAATTATTTTTAAACTTATAAAATAAATTTTATTATTTTTTAACACCGATTATTTCTCTTATAAAATTTTCTTTAAAAATTTATTCAATTTGAGCCATAATATTCGTAAAATTTGAAGAAAATCATTTGACTGATAAAAAATAAAAGAAATATTGAAATATAATATATAGACTAAAATTATGATAAAATACAACATGTGAAAAATAATTTTAAAAATGTAATTATTAATTTTTATCGACCATTCTTGATACACTCTATTTTTAATGTTTACTCACACTTGAGAGTAATCACTCTGTGATAGATAATTTTATATATTTTATCACAATTCCAATTGTTAATTAATTTTTGATGAGAAGCATCTTTAATTTGCATCTGGATTCTATTGCCTTAAAATCTAGCTTCCATCTTTTAGCTTTTATCCTTTTGGAATGGAGGAAACTTTATTCCCCGTCAGGTGCAAATAGGACAATTTACTTTTTCAAACAATTTTATTTTTGTTCAAACAAGGGAACTTACACGAACGAGTCCCATAATAACATTGAGCCACTCATGCATGTGAGATTATGAGCCACTCATGTGGCATATTCTGCTTTGTTTTTGGTTAAGCCACATCTCTACAGAATATGAATTTTGGAACACCTGGTCCATTTCTATTGGGAGGTCTACATCTCTTTCCTGAAATGAGGGCATAGAAGCTTACATTTGGGCCCTTGGCTTTATAGTACCCTCACTTTGACGACATCTGGATTCTTTAACTTGTCTCTACCAAAGCAACCCTACAATCGTTTGTCCTGTAATCCACTTGTTAAAACATCTCCATTTACATAGGCCCAAGATACTTATATCTAATGTTCAATCCAACTCAAATGTAAGTGAATTTCGACCAAAACAAATCAAACTCGGTTTAGTTAAAGAAGGCACATTTATGTTATTATTTTTGTTTTGAAAATTTTAACAATAATCTCGTATGTATAAGATAAGAACTTTAAAGATAAGAGAAACACACGTCTTAAATATTTGCTATATATGTCACACGTCTGTCTTGTATGTATGCGTACGTAAGAAGATATTCAGTGACTCAAAGAATAAGTTTTGAATACTACTAACTTTGGTTAGTCATTTTTTAAAACATTTAAATCCATTAGTTTAACATTTGTATCGTGTAATATTATCTTAATAATTATGGATAACAAAATTTTAATTAATTAAACTTTATATACTTACAAATTTATGAGTTAAATAAGTTATCAGTCTTTAAAAATATCATGCTTTTGTGTTTAATTTCTAAAAATATATTGAATTTTAGTTTTTAGAATTGAAAAAATGAATTTAATCTTCACTGCAAGAATAAAATTATGTTTTTTTTATTAAATACAGGGACTAGGATTGAATGTGTTTTAATTAAATGTAGGGACTAAGAATGACGTGTAATAGAGTGCACATTTTTTTAATATATGAAACTTTTTAGAAAGATTAAAAAAAACTTTATAATAAAAAAATGTAAAATTAATAGTGACGTGTAACAAATTCCTAAACAGGAATTTATTTTAAAATAATATTATTTATTAATTTATTTTTAAATATTAAAAAATAAAAAATCGAAAATTTAATTATTTAATATTTAATTTTATCAATAAATGTTCACAATGTAAGGATAAAAGTATATAAAAATATAAGAAATTATCGATTGTATCATATTATGTAACTTAACTAATTTAAAAGAAGTCGAACTCGACCTTGAAAAAAGGTGTTAAGTGGCGCCTTCAGCCTTGTCACCTGTGCACGATAGAAAACTCTAGAAGGTAAATGACGGGGTGCAAGGCCATGTTTGTTAAGAAAAAAATAGAGGGGAAAAAGGGGCTTTGACATAAAGCTTTCAATTAGGCTGAGAAACCCTAGTGTGAGAGTTCAGTGAGTGTGGAAGCTACTGGCTACTGCCGGGGTTTGTTGCAGCAGCGACAACCAAGGTGGGACAGATTTGAGCGTTTTCTAGGGTTTTTACCGCCGAAAAGGACGTTTCCACTATTGTCAACAAACGTGGCGCTCTTCTCATAAGCGCTTACGTACGCCTCTCTCGCTCTTCCCTTCTCTCCCCACCACCCTATTATTCTCTTTTTGTACCACATAATCGGCAACTCTGTTTCTATTTTTTTTTAATATTTTCTGTTCATTTGCTTCCCATTCAACGCACACATTTACTATTAATATTTTTCAAAAACTAATCGACTGAGTCGTGTTTGGTCGTCGCATCGAAACAGAATGGCAGATTCAGAGCGAATCCAAAATCCGTGGATGGCTTCGGAGCAGACTGCAGTTGAAATGAATGACAACGGTACGGATTCTACGCGACGCTTTTCTCCTCCTCCTCCGCCGCAACCATCCAATAGCGATCAATTGGGAATCGGAGAACGAGCTTTCTCCGCCGCCGGCGCTGCCTTCCTCTCCGCCATCATTGTCAATCCCCTCGATGTTGCCAAGGTGCCGTTTCTTCTCACTTTTCAATTTAATTGCATGTTTCTTGACTCATTTATGTGTTTTATTATATTGAGTTTGTGCCAATACTTCAATACTTTACCTGTTATTCCATGACATATTTTTATTTATTTATTTATTTTATGTGTGTTAACGTTAAATTTATTTGTGGTGTATTCTGAATCTTTTTGCTGGTTTATCAGACAAGGTTGCAAGCACAGGCCGCAGGGGTTGCATATTCTCATCCGCTCAGTAATATGACCAGTCGTATGTCTTATTTTGGGCCAAATATGGTATGTGAGGAGCTCATATTTTCGCTCCCTTTTCAAAGACCTTTTGTAATAATTGTTATTATTTTATTACTTTCAATTTGTGTGCATTTGTATGTTGTTTCTTCGATTGCCACAATACGAGAGCTAATGCAATGTAGCATGTTTTTGAGAGATTATGTGGTTGAATGACATTGCATTCTCTTGAACCCAATTTACTGGTTTTCAAGAAGAAAAATCCTGGATGTCTTTGGTTTTGTGCCATTTCGTGTGATTAATTTGATCTTGTTGATATTGTTTCTAGATGTTTGCTGATCTAAGATGTTCTCCTTCATGTCACCGGGCTGGAATCCAAGGCACAGTATCAATTTGTCCTCCTGAGTGTTTTCGCTACAAAGGAACACTGGATGTCCTCTACAAAATTATACAACAGGTCGGTAGTTTTGTTAGATGGGATGATGTGGTCATTTGCATGTTTTGAGTGGATATCTGTGCTTGAAGTGGTCATTTATGCATATTACTTGTTTACGTTTACAAATATGGGCACATATATTCATCAATGCAAGAGTGGTATTGCAGGAAGGATTTGCTAGGCTATGGAGAGGCACAAATGCTGGCCTTGCACTTGCAGTACCAACTGTAGGTTCACTAGTCAATCAACATTTATTCATTGTTTTAAGCATTGGACATTATATAGTGAAAGCATGAGAATTGACTTGACTATTTTTCATGGACTTAAATCAGGTAGGAATTTACCTTCCTTGCTATGACATATTCCGCAATTGGTTTGAGGGATACACGGCCAAAAGTGCACCAACAGCAACCCCATATGTACCTTTAGTGGCTGGTTCATTGGCGCGTTCTCTAGCTTGTGCAACTTGTTATCCTATTGAACTTGCTAGAACTCGTATGCAGGTATTTATGATAATTACCCATATTATTTAAGCCCTGATGTTTGAAAAATTGAGGGTTTTAGAAATGCTGTGCTTGTTTAAGTCTGGCTATGTTCCCTGCTTTGAATCTATGTATGTCTGAGTTGGTTCACCTGCAATCCATGGGCATTTTTGGCCTAGTGATTTCTCTTGTTGGTTTCTGGGGTGCATGGTTTATTTTTTTCTATTTATTTTACATGTGCCAAATCAATGTTGCCATGCTTTATAATATTTCAATTCCAACTAAGATCCCTTGTCCTAGGATTAGGATTGTGGCTTACTGTTGAAGTTTTGTATTGTGACTGGATGATGGTTTGATTTTTTCTTTTTTTGGGGGATACCTCTTACCTGGTACATAAACTTATTTGTCCCTTAGAATTTTACTTTGTTCTACTGTAATTCATTTGGTTTTCTTTCTTCATTTAGTAGATCCTATTTGTTTTATTGTGATTTTGTTATTTGTTTCTAGATAGCAGTGTTTTATGCTTTATTTCTTCAATTCCCCTATCTTTCTTGATGCTTAGTGGTTTTAAGCAAATACATGTTTTCTTATTTTAAATTCCCAGCTACACTTACTATCACCACAAAATTTCTATATTCTTCTTGTTCTTGGGAGAATTTTTCAATTTTCAATTGTTCATTTTGGATTAGGCATTCAAGGAGACTCAAATTGGTAAAAAGCCACCTGGAGTGTTCCAGACTCTCTTGGGTGTTGTCTCACATGTGAAGAGTACAAACACTCCACAGAACAGTTGTAAGTGCATCTTTTTTTTGGACAATATGAACATCTAATAGCCATAATGTAAACTGAAAGGGGTCTGCTTGCTTTGACATTTACTGTACATAGATTTGTAAATTTGTTGAATGAGAAAGGCTAGGAACCCACTCTTTCAAGCACACTATTATTGGCTAAAATTTATTGGAAATCACAAAAGTCACGTTCCACCTTTAATTTAATGATTCTCACTCATACTTTTGTAGTTTTCAATAAATTTCAATCAATAAATGAGTGTTTCAGAAAAAGTGTGTTGGTGAGTGTTCCTAGCATTTCTTGTATCGAGTTGGCTGGTGTTTCTTATTTGTTTGATTCATCAAATTTTTGCACTAGCACAATAAAGTTTTATTAATTTATATAAGGATAATTATCTTAAATACCTGTATACGAGTTCTAGCAAGTTCAATAGGATAACAAGTTGCACAGGCTAGAGAGTGTGCCAAGTTTGCCATGACATGAAGTGTAGGTTATTTGAATATTTGGATTTAGCTTTTTAATGTACTGGAATTCAAATCTATTTCTGAGGAATAGATGTTGAAACTATACTTCTCTATTTGTCACGCAAGTTGGGGGATACATGTCTCATCTGTTTGATTCAATTTGTTAATCTCAGTCAACTGTGGCACTGGGAAGACTGCTATATTTATTAATATAACAAACATTGAAGCCTGTATGAACATTTATAAATTAAATGCTAAGGAAGGTATTATCATAATCATGTAATCGGTGGTGAATCTCTTTCATTTCATCACAGTGCAAGGTTATCGTGTTCTGTGGACTGGCATGGGAGCTCAACTTGCCCGTGATGTTCCTTTCTCTGCAATTTGTTGGTCAACACTTGAACCAGTGAGTTCCCTTCCTGAATCCTTTGACATATGAAATTGTTTTTCTCAATCTTTGTTTTCTCATGCTAATTACTCCTGCTTTGCAGACTAGAAGGAAGCTTCTTAGTTTGGTTGGCGATGATGCCAATGTATTGAGTGTTCTTGGGGCAAATTTTGCTGCTGGTTTTGTTGCCGGAACTTTAGCAGCTGGTGCTACATGTCCGCTAGATGTTGCCAAAACTCGAAGGCAGATAGAGGTTTGTTTCTATTAGAGATGTCATAGAAAACCATGTATCTTCCCCAAACAATTTAAGCTTTTAGGATTTTTGGTTCCTGACATGTTATCACTGCTTCTACAATCAAGTGGTCTAGTTTTTGACCTTTGTTGTCCCTATAATTTTAATAAAATGGTGAATTTTAGCACAAGGTAGGTAGGTTTATGCACTATCCACACTTCAAGCTCAAAAGGCTCTTGAATGAAGGGTTGTGTTAGAGATCTAAGAAAAAAATTCATGTGATGTAATATGAAATCTTTGATTTGTTTTTACCCAGGAATTTAAACTTTAGAAATTCCAGTTCTTGACAATTTCCCTTTTGTTTTAAGTCACTAAAGCTTCCCCCTGGTATTTTCTTTTTATTCAAACTTGAGGGGTAGGGGGAATTACAGGAGTTATCACTTTTCTCATATGTCGTCTTTTTTTCTTTCAAATAACTGATTCATTTGAATTAATAATTCAGTTCTATATCTATTTGCCTATTTGGACTTATTCTATTGTCATCTTTTCTCAAAAAAATTGCAGAGGGATCCTGTTAGGGCATTGACAATGACTACAAGACAGACACTGATGGAGGTGTGGAGGTATGCTACTATTTGGATTCCAAATCTTTATACTTTTGACTTTCACCTTGTTTTTGTGACAGAAATTGGATGCCAAGTGCCTTAACTGACTGTTCTTTTCAATCTATAATATAGTGCATGCCTGCTTATATTTTTATTCGAGATGTCACTTAATGCTGAAAGGATTTCAACTTCTTTGTTGACCCACTTAGTAGGAAAATGCATAGTTGTTATTTTAGTTGCCTATGCCCTAAAGTATTAACTTCTTGTCTGCGTGAAGATCATTTGAAATTGATCTATATGTTGGTATAATTGATTATTTGTATGCTTTGTTTGAGCTGACTTTTTCAATATCTTCCCTCAGAGACGGAGGTTTGAAAGGGCTTTTCACAGGGTTTGGTCCACGAGTTGGTCGGGCAGGTCCCTCCGTTGGAATTGTGATTTCATTTTATGAAGTTGTAAAGTTTGTTCTACATCATGGGTACGCAGCATCATGATCGGGTTCTTATTCTGCATATTTTAGTTTAATTACCGAAGCGTCTTTAATGAGAATCTCTGGAGGTTGCGCAGCAATTTTTTTGTGTGGAATGGAGGTCTTTCCAATACGTTCTGACCATTAACAACATACATGAATAGGAATTGACCAGCGCAGAACATGCGCCTAGGTTTTTGACATTTTTTTTGGTAATTTTGCTGGTTGTCCAGCAGAAATTTTGTTACACTTGGGATCGTCCCTGAAGTAAAATATTAATAAATTGATTTTTCTTTTAAACATGCTACGGTCGGTCGCTCTATACATACGTGGAATGTTGATTGAAGTTTTTGTTTATTTTATATAGATTTTCCTTCAACCTACTATTTATTCTTGGCGGAAATAGTACTGGAATTTGGATGGTCTGTGCTGCAAATTGAAGAATATATTGCAGTATTTTCATGCTGAGTGGTTTGTATATCATATAGTTGGCCAGAGAAGTTAATAATATATTTTTAACATTTATTATTATTAGTTGAAATTTTTATAACGAAAAAAATGGTGGCATTAATTTTACCCGATAATAGATGTGTTAGAATAGTTCAAGGTAGAAATGATTCAACCTTGCACATTGCAGGAGAAGATTACACGTAGGGAGAAAACTGTATAAAGTGCTTCATCTATTCAGTCCTCTCAATTCCAGCTCTGGCCTTGGAATGCTCGCAACGGGGCCTATTATGGTGAAGAATAATTAATGGTGATGATACTATCACTATTAGGAAGTCGTGGTTCAAGTCTAGTAAAGAAAACTTAACTACAAATGGCATCATCCGGGAGTACTCGTTACATGTTAACCTTAAACATGAAAAGTATACTGTTTAATTTGTCATGTAGATTTGTAGTCAACTGCAGAGAAATTTTTTGTTAACTTAATTTGATAAATTTAAATTGAATATGTGAACCAAAATGGTTTATTTTTTGTTAAACCATTAGGAATGGAAACAGATTAGGTTTTATTTTAAATAAAATAGGTCTAACTTGTAACATAATTATTAAGCTTGATTAACTTGTTACCTATTAATATTAAGTAGGTATGGTAATGTCTAGGGTATTATAGTATCTATTTCTATACCTGTGTTTTAAAAAAATATTCGTATATGGTCTCATACTTGTGTGAATATGAACATTAATCTGCGTACTCGTACCTTTTAAGTACCTGCATACTCATCTTGTATCCATTTCTTGCGCTTGTTTGAGAAAAAATATTTATAAAAAAAATATGTTTATATAATTTCACATAAGTAGTATAATAATATAATAATTCAATATATAGTTGCCGAATAAGGTACAAATATAAATAAAAAAATAAATATTTAAAGATCATAAATGCTAAATGTATCTTAATATAATAATTTTTTAAAATAAATTTTTAAAAACAATAAGCGAAACTAAACACATAAGTTATTTGTCAGTAATAATCCTATCTTGTGTAAGATTTGATCGATTAACAATGTCAGAGCAACAACGAAATAGATTTGTATAATAGTTGTCCTTTCGTGTGGATCACTTGGTGTCCTCTTGTGAGGATATTGACCTCTTGATACATAAAAATATTTTTTTTAACTTTTGAATTTGAAATTGTAAGAAAAATAATAGATTTAATTAAAATAATATATATATATATATATATTAATACTAGTATTTTTAACTCATACACTATACGAAAGTATTTTATCAAAAATATAAATTTTTGAAAAATTATTTTAATAAATTAAATATTTATAATGTATATAAATTTTAAAAGAAAGAATTTGAATAAAAGATAAATAATTATAATAAAATTTTATAATAAAGAAATATACGTGTATATTGAAAAAATGAATAATTAATGCATGAAAACTTCTCTGTGCTTTTCATCCTTATAACTCTTTTAAAGGTAAACCTGGACATGAAAAAGAAACAAAAGTGTTCAACACTTTATGTTCTCTAAAGGGGGCATGTATGAAAGCAGCAATGGAATACTAAGAATAATGGGTTTTGTTACATACATTGGTGCAGCAAAAAGTGAAACTGAGGCATCATGACAGTTCATAGATATATCTTTTATTTAATATTTTATCTTTTTATTTTTTACCATATTGTTTTAAACATTATTCATGATCTTTTGTTTATTCTAAATTCAAATCACTGCACATTTAATGCTTTTTTAGTTTAAAGTTAAGTTGAATTATTTTTTATAATTATCTATAACAATTTGATAAAATTGTTATTTAACTATTAAATATTATTAAAATATGTACATTAATAAATTAAATATTTTTTTATAATAATTATATTTTATTTGTGTAAAAATATCTCATATTTAATAAATAAAATTATAATAAATACATAAAATTAATAACAAAAATAATACTTACAAAATTTGTTGAATAAACTTAAAAAATATTATATCTAAAAAGTAAATAATATCGTCATTATAAAAATTGTAGATAAAAAATATTTATATCATAAAATTTATGGATATAGAAAAATAACATATTAGTAAAATAAGAATTAATAAAATTTATATTTAAATTAAAATAACTTATATTTTTAAATTTTTATTTTAATAAAAAAATATGTGATAAAACTTAATATAAAAATTTAAACTCAATGCATATATATATAATTATAATGACAATAATAATAATAACTATTAATTTAAAAAATAATTATAAAATATTTAATTTTATCTATTTTATTAAATTTTTATTTAAATTAATAAATATATATAAAATTAACTATATTATAACAATAATATAATATAAAAAATATTATTAATACAATACATTAAAATATATATTTATATATTATATATAAATTAATAAATAAATTAATAATATAATTTTTTATTTATACTTTTTTTATGTAAATATTTATTAATTATTCAATTTTAAATGTATAAATAATTATATTTAAAAAAAAAAGCTATCTACATTTATGTCAAATTTATTAAAAATAATAATTTAAAATTTGACATATTTATATTTAAGTGTGTGGTTGTGTGATGTGGACCTGGTATCTAAAATTTTTTTTATAAATACTTTACTCAAAAAATTTATACCAATAAAAATAAAATATGTAGTAAATTACAAAAAGTATATATTATTATATATAATTTATTTAAAATTAAATTATTTATATTATTTACTATATAGTCATATTATATATATATATATATATATATATATTGTATATTGACATTTTTTTATTTTATATTTTTTATAAAATTTTAATTTCAAATAAAATATAATTCATATTTAAATAATTTTTATTTATTATAAAAAAAGAATTAAATACAATATATTAATATAATAATTAAATATTAATAATAATAAAATTAAGAATATAAAAAAATATATTAATATATATTATTATTTTATTTTATTTTATTTTGATTGAGTCTTATTCTTATCCAAAGACTTAATTCTTCTTTAACTTATTTAATATAATAAATATGATAATTTATTATTAAATAAATTTATTATTTAAGAAGTATAATTGTATATAAATAATTTTAATTTTTAATAAAATATAATTATAAATAAAAAAATTATAACATTATATATTATTAAAATATAAAAAATAATATTAAATAATTTTATTATTTAAATATATTTTGATATATATATATATATAGGCCGACCCGTAATATCTAATAGACTTTATATTAACTTAACTATATATTAGTCAACTTGTTTTGACTTTGTTGTGCATCGACCAATTTGTTTGTGACATTACTGTGTATTAGGGATAAAATGGACTAGTGGTAGTAAAAGCCTACAATTGATACAGTTTGAAAACGGTGCTAGAACATTTTTATCCATACTTACATTCTAGAAAAATCAAGACAACAATTTGGTACCCAAACCCATTCTCATACTCGTATAGATAGAACCTTTAGTTTTTGTGTTTATATCCACTATACAATTATAAATCTAAACCAGAACTAGTTACATACTGTTTAGTTAAATAGAAGATTTTAATTTTTTTTAAATTAGTAAAACAAATATATTATTGTAATATTAAAATTAATTAAAACGTTAATAAAACCAAAAGGCCTTAATTAAAAGTACAAGATCTAATTCAAGTACCCAAAAAAAATTCCAAAGATATTTCTAACCTTAATTATAAAATCTAACAAATATATAATTATATTTATTCAACACACACCTTATATAGGAGTTTGTACGGGGCAGACTGGGTATAAATCCCATATTCACAAAACTTAACGCAGAAAATTACCATGTTTAGAATCTATTTGATGGGGGAAAATAAAAGAAAAAAAAGTTTATATAATACCAATAATTTTTAAGAATATCCATTGATTTTAAGTCGAGTTATCTTTTCAAAGTAAGGAGCTAACTTTATTTTTCTGTAACATTAACAACCAAATCAACTAGCGGCTCCAAATTCATTTATCAAATATCATATTGATAATTGAAAAAAAAAATGTCCAGTTCAACCTCAATGTCATAACATTTTTTCTTTTAATGAACAATGTCACACCAAAGTTTTGGAAGACGAGTTATGTGTCACTTTCAATTACCACTCCAACTATTTTCTTTACAGTATAATCTTACATTTTAACCTTATACGTAACATTTTTTTTTTTTCTTTTTACACATTATTTCTAGACATTAAATTGTAACACTAGCGCACTAGATGAAAATACGAAATAAGGAGAACGGAAAATAGGTAGCCTCAAAAACTACTTTTCCTTTCTTTCTCTAATTGTAGCTTCAAGTTGCTCGTAATCCAAATCCTTAACACTTGTAACTAGACAACGTTAATTCCAAATATGCACAAATTACCAAACCTACTTGCAATATATGTGTGTGCCTAATGCCTCGTAAAAGTTAAATTCATGTTAAAACGTCAGTGACCATGAGTCGTAAAAGTTACAATTAGTAACTTCAAAATCGATAATCTATAACTAATAAACGTAAAATCAAACTCGCACTAATTTTATCAAATGCGATTATTATCTGTCATTTTGCTTTGAAAAGTACGATAATTCAATTCAGCTAGTTTGAAAGGCCTTGATTTACGATTGTTTGCCTACTTATAATTATATGAGAATTCTCTGATGCTTATATTTTTAATGGATGACTTTATTTTTCATAATCTCTTATCTTTGCCCTACAGTAAGAAAGTATCTCATAGATTATTATTATTATTATGCAGGAATGAGAAAAACAAAGGACCATAAATAGATTGCAACCGATAAGTCAGAATAGGATATTCATTCGAGAA